TTGGAATTGTAATTTACTAACTGCCGTCGTCGGATTAAATCGGACTTGGATTTTAGACAAATCGTACAGAAAGTCAAACGAATTATGTTCTTCGAATGGCTGACTGTCGACCGGCAGTTAATAAAAAAATTAATAAATTGGCACTTATCCGGCTCGAAGGACCAAAAAATGAAGAGATGGGGCTTCGGGGATGATCGTCGCTTGGGGGGCAGCTTCGTCGGGCGTTGCGGCTGTTGAACGTAGCCGGGTGGCAAGCTGTGGAATAGATGATGAAGAGAAACACTCGACGATCGCGGTGCGCAAAGGCAGGAAAAAAACTCGATGTGGTTTTCGTTTTAAAGCGCGGACCGGCCGGGCGATGTATTTCACTATTGAGACAATGAAAAAGACTAACTTAAACCTAATTAAGCGCTGCGTTTCAAAGCGCAGTGGAGAGATTCCGGGAGCGGGAAGGCGGGAGAGCCTGGAATCGCACGCGTCCAGTGCGGGAGAGCGGGAGAGCCTGGAGTCGCGAGCATCCAGTGCGGGCGAGTGGGCATTCGCTACGAGGGAAGCGCGGGCAGTTTAAAAGAGGGGAGAGCGGCGTAAACAGATATCGACAATGCAAGATCGAATGCACTACAGAATATAGAAAAGGCTGCCGAATATGAAAAGCAACGATTCGACAAAAATAAGGCTAAGATAATAAGATACAAGGTAGGCGACCATGTCTTGCTCAAGAGTGAAGAACGGCACCAAACAAAGCTAGATCCGAAGTTTAAAGGACCATTTGTGATTATAGAGAGTCTTGATGGTGACCGATATGTGCTAAAACCCTTAAAAAGTAAAAGGACATACAAGTATGCCCATGAGCAGTTGCGTGCCATGCCTGAAGAGGTGGACGCAGAAGAATACGAGAGATCGCCAGCTGAGGCACTCGTAGATACCATCTACTCAGTGTAAAACATTTACAAGGCTTAGCCTCACCATGCAGTTATCTGCGCAGTAACTGTATGGCGGGGGCTATTTGGGTCCAGTGGGACCATGACGCAGATTGTGCGAGAGAGCGTTGCAAGGTGTGCAACATGAGCATGAGAAAGAGATGGAGTTATGGCGAAAAAGTTGAGAGACGATTGAAGAGAAAGAGATGTAAGAAACAAATGTAAGACAAAACAACAGAGAACGCTATAGTCGGGTGCCCCGACTATCAGATACCCGTTACTCAGGTAAAGGGAGTGCGAGGGAGATGGAGATAGAAACTTTGATCACGCATAACTTTTTAACGAATGGTCCGATTTGAAAAATTTCTTATACATTTCGATAGGTATTAACAAACATAATAAAACTGCATTTTTACTTTTCCGAAATATTTAAATTTGTAAAATCGTATTTAAGCGATTGTGGGCGTTAAAGGGGGCGTGGCACCAGTTTGAAACAAACTTGCGCTGCGTAGGAACTCCTAAAATCTACATGCAAAATGCCAATCTTCTAGCTTTTATAGTTTCCGAGATCTCAGCGTTCATACGGACGGACAGACAGACGGACAGACAGACGGACAGACAGACGGACAGACAGACGGACAGACGGACATGGCTATATCGACTCGGCTAGTGACCCTGATCAAGAATATATATACTTTATAGGGTCGGAAACGCTTCCTTCTAGCTGTTACATACTTTTGCACGAATACAATATACCCTTTTACTCTACGAGTAACGGGTATAAAAATATATATTGGGCACGGCAAGGAGCGCTACACTAGTTCGTTAAACTAAATTTGTTTTGTGAATTCCCATTACATTTATGTTTGATTTATGACTGTATACTGAAGAGTAATGTTAAGTTAATACCAACTTGAACCTTAAGGAAGGAAACAATGTTAAGTTGAAAGAAAGTTGAGAATAAAAACTATGAAAGAAATCTGCTGTTGAGTTGTGAATAGAGACATGGCCCGCGAGATCATTTGCCATTCACCTAGAAAATGACTTCAAACCACTTCCAGCAACGAATAGCTTTGTGCTCCCAATTATCACCAATCCTGAAGCCCGCAAACTATATTCCATCCAGAAGGAGTTACAAGAGTAATAAAGTCCCTAGATAAAAAGAAAGCGCCGGGTCCACGATCTCATCACCCCAAAAATTATCATAAAACTGCCAAACTGTGCAATACATCTTCTAACCATAATATTTAACACCATGATGAATTGGGGATATTATCCTCAACAATGGAGGAAGTCTGTCATCACAATGATCCATTATGCCGGAAAGGACAATCAACCTTCTACCGTGCCTATCAAAGATATTTGAAAAGCTGCTCCTCAATTGCATAAAGCAATACACCAATGCACCAATTTGGAAAAACACGGAACTTTTGAACAAGTGAACCGGATAACCTCAGAGATTCGAAATACACTTTCCGGATGTCGCACAGGCTTTCGACCACGTGTGGCTGGGCGGCTTAATTCATTAAATCAAATTAATACTTCCACAAAGCACACATACAATTTTGGAGTTCTACCTACAGAAAATAAGTTTGATGCAAAGATTTCCTCTATGGATATCATCCAATTAAAGCTGGAGTACCCTTAGATAGTGTGCTTGGGCCGACACTGTAAGTATATTATTTATACAGCAGATCTAACGAAAACCACTCTTACAACAACATCAACCTTTGCTGATGATACTGCCATCCTAAGTCGGTCTAAATGTCCTCTTAGAGCAACGCATCACTTATTAGATCACCACGTGCTTTTAGAGTAATGGCTGGCAGACTGGCGCATAAACGTTAACGAACAAAAATGCAAACAAGTCACTTTTACCCTAAACATTCTTTCTAATCTAACCACTGTACCAAGAAAACGAAACCGAAATTATAAGTACCGCAAGAGTGCAGAAACTGCATGCTTAAAACATTCGAAGCAAAGAGTGCGGGAGCGTAATTTAGTTAAAGTGCATGCCAAAGCAACGACTAGAACACCACTACGACGGACAATGCATAAGGGAAAACGGCGGAGTTACCAGCTTGTTATAGATCTGCTACGCAATAAGAGTCAACATTTGAGGTCATAGGAAAACTGTATCCGTTCAAAATTTACAAAGTCAGCCCGGCGCTAGTTTTAAAAATGATCTAAATCGGATTGTACGTTTAACTGGCAGGAAATATTCTTATGCTGCAGGGAAAACACGGAGAATTTTCGGAAGATACGTTTTGCGGCCTGTCACTCAGATAACTTAAGATCCAAATCATAAGATCAACTCGAAACCTCAACTGGTTTCCGAAGAAGTAAGTCATTTACAGAGTCAAATATCGTGTTTCATGATACAATAACATAAGGTAGTCTCGTCGGCTGTCTAAACGTTCGGGTTTTGGTCAGTGCGTGTTCGTTTTTTGAAGATAAAGGACGAAATTTTTAAATAATTAACCCTTGTACATTACTATTTGACATATTAAAGTTTTATTTTAAGATTAGAATATATTTTAAAATTTAGAATCTTAACAAAAGATTAAACACTCAAAAACAAAAACGACGCCAAATTTCAAATTCAAAACTATTAAAAATTTAATTATGAAAAACAAGAAAAGAAAGCTAACTTCGGGCGGAGCCCAAGTTGATATACCCTTGCAGAATATTCTGTATATTATATTCTTCAAAATTATTCATATGATGCATTCTTAATACTCATAAAAAATCCCAACTTCCTAACTTTACAAACACCAAAGTTATGGCATTTCCAATCGTTCAGTTATATGCCAGCTATAGGATATAGTCGGCCGATCCTTACGAAATTTGGTAGGTAGGATTGATTGACCAAAAATAAAACCCATAGAAAATTCCAACTTCCTAACTTTACACACACCAAAGTTATGGCATTTCCGATCAATCAGTTGTATGGAGCTATAGGATATAGTCGACCGATCCTGGCCGTTCCAACTTATATACTGCGTGCAAAGGAAAGAAAGTTGTGTAAAGTTTCATTCCGATATATTTAAAACTGAGAGACTAGTTCGCGTAGAAACAGACAGACGGACAAGCTTATATCAATTCAGGACGCGATTCTGATCAAGAATATATATACTTTATAGGGTCGGAGATGTCTCCTTCACTGCGTTGCACGCTTTTGACCAAAATTATAATACCCTCTGCAAGGGTATAAAGATAAAACCTATTTTATTATGAAAGACAAAAAAAAACCCGGAGCCATCTAAGGGTGAATCCACACATTCTATTGTCGCTCTGCTCGCACTTACTAAACAGTGCCCATTTCACTCGCACTCATTGTTATGATAGTAGAGGTACCAGATTTTGCAAACGAGACTACCTTATGTTATTGTATCATGGTCTGTTTGGAAACTACTTTTGAAGCTCTTTATCACAAATGAAGTGAGCTCCAAAAGGTTAGTGGTTATGGAGAGGTGCTGCAAAAAACTGCAGATCGACGAAAATGCGAGAAAAATCATCGCGTGCCAACCACCTGAAATTAACTCTGGGTATACGTTCGCCATGCTTTAGCAAAAAGATTCAAAATGTAATCCTATGAATTGTCTGTCGTTAGAGTGTTTCTTAGATCAGAAATGGACGCAACAAAAAACTTAAAAAAACCGCTTGCAAGAAAAAATGATCAGCCTCGTCTGCCAAGTTAATCGAGAATAGCCCTTTTCTGTAAATAAGTTTTTTGAATGTAACTGTTTGTCAATAAGCCCAGCTGATTGACAGTACCACGGTAGTGCACTCAATTCTAATGCACTTCCCAAAAGCTTACCGAAGCTTGCTTCCTTTCTTAATTAATTATTCGTAAATATTCGTTTTTTTTCTATGACATAATCATCCGATTTTAATACAATCAATTGGATGATTTTAACTGTAAAATTGGTAGATTTTACTCATACTGAGAAGTCTTTAAACACCAAAAAATGAAAAAAATATCGGTCAATCGCTTTCCCTCTTTTCTCTTTTTTTTACATTTGTAAGGCTTCGCCAGTAGCTCAACATATACAATTATAATTTAGCCCAGTTGCATTTTCATCCCTAGACGGAATGTGCACACAATGTATTCGATAGCAAGCGGTTTACTACTACTTCAGCTAATTTCATTTGCTTTGGGAGTTCCTCCCTTAGTAAGAGTTGGTAAAATACTTCTGCATATGTTGCAATCAAGTTTTTGATATTCTTTTATAGGCGCCATATTTTCAAACCAGAACGGAAAACATAACTCGGAGTTGGCGTTTAGATACGCAATTCACAAGTTAAACTTAGACAAAAGTCTTTTGCCTGAGACTACCGTTGAATACTACATTGAATATGTTAACCGATTTGACTCCTTTGAGACAGTTCAAAAGGGTAAGCTACAAAACGCTAAATTTCTAAATTTATTATTTATTGCGGTACCTGAATATTAGTGTGCAAGCTGGTACATGTTGGTGTTCAAGCTGTATTTAGTCCAACTGATGCGGCTTTGGCGACTCATATAAATTCGATTTGTGATGCCTTGGACATTCCGAGTATAGGCCGATCTGCTCATGATTTTTCCATTAACGTGTATCCGTCCCAGCAGTATGTCAATCAAGCCTTTATTGATGTAATACATTATCTGAATTGGACCCGCTTCGGAATTTTGCACGAAAAAAATTTCGGTAAGTCCCAAATCCTTCAGCCTAACAAAAGATTTTCGAAAGATATAAAACTAAGGTCCCATTTGGAACATTCATTCCACTATTCGTCACGCAAGGGGGCCTTTAAATATATTCGACAGGTTTTAAAATGCTTTTTGCACCATAAAAAATGCGTCGAAACTGGTTAAGCATATGTTAAGTAAATAAAATTATAAGTTTAGTAAATCCTTAACCAAATCGACTGAATTCACTTTTAATGAACGAATTTAACTGGTAATATCTGGTTCGTTACGAATTTTTAAAATACATATGTGTTAGCAATGCCACTTCTTTAAATCAAGTAAAAAGAAAATTTGATATTATTTAAAGAAAAGATATATATATATATATATGTATATAGTAACATACCCACACCCACATATCTACCACATAAAGTAACATACATTGTCGGCTCCCACGACTGACCAATTTATGTAAACGTCCTCTTGCATTATAAACAAATGTCCCCAAACTCCAAAAAGCTTTTATCCCCCAATACTGTAAAATTGCAGACGCAGCTCAAACCTAGATCGCTCTCTTGCTCAGTGCTCTCATTTTGGACACTCTCAATTTATCAATAAATTTCTTTCTCCCAATCGAAGGTTTGATAAGCGCCAGCTTAGTTTTTAAGGTCGAGTTTTAAGTTGAATCTTGTAAGGAGCAGACCTATCTCTCCCAGTTCGCGTTTACACTATTTTGATAAATAAAAATTTTATTTTTTCAAAGTGTTAAATCCCGAATTTGTTATTGGCGCAGCCGGTAGGATATAACTTTTTATACGGTTATATCCTTAAAGAACCCAAACGTCGTTCGTCCCAGTGAAATTATAAACCAGCTATCGCAGTGTCGGTTTGTGTCGCTAATATACGAACGGAAACCTCAATTTTTGCAACACGCTATCGAAGCTCAGGTTGCGAGGTTTTTTAAAACATAAATCTTGACCCGTGTGACTGTCAAGTAACTAAAACAAATTTTTTTGCAAAAACCTGTTTTATTGTAAAAGCTAGTGCCTTTGCTCGTAACACAAGGGTTACTAAAAAATAAAACACCTTAGTTCTCCCCCACCAGTGGTAAGAGACAAGGTATAACAAATTTAAATCAAATTCATAATACAAAACTTTTAAAATTGTGAAAAATTTATAAAACTAAATAAAAAACCAAAAATGGCAGAACCAGTGCTATTATTGTCAGAAAACCATCTAAATCAAGCCCTGAACCAAATCAGGCAAGTGCCGCATTTTGGAGGCAACACGCTCGAACTCAGCCCGTTCATCAGGATAGACTTCATCCTGGAGTTGTACCCCACAACATGTATACGCCAGTCGAGCGTATTCTTCAGTGCGATTGAAATGCAGCTTCACGGAGATGCCCAGAGGATATCTCAACTATCAACAGCCAGATGCTGGAGGGATTTAAGGAACGCCCTCATCAACGAATATAAAACCCAGACGCCCTGCGAAGAACTACTAAGACGTCTGTATAGCACCCCCTTTCCTGGGTGTATACGTAAGTTCGTTGAGGACATTGAGTCCAAATCTTTTGTAATATTAAATAAATTAGCCTTAGAAAATAACGCTTCAAATACAATTTTATACACAAATGCTCTTAATAATACAGTTTTATGAAAAAATTGCCAGACAGACTTTTTATGACATTGGCTAGGTATGATATTACTAATGCTAATAAACTAAAATGTGTAGCACAACAAGAAGGTTGTTATGAAACACTTTATTCAGATCGTACAAAGAATTCACAAAGTCAAAACCAAGATAAGGGAAATTATCAACCCCAACAAAATACTAATAAACAACAAAACTATAATTCCCAAAACCAATACAGACAGCAGAATAATATTTCCCCAAATCAATATAACAACAAGCAAAAATGGAATTTCTGACGTTGAGAGATTTCATAAAACTGTAAATGAAAAGTTAAGAATCATAAACAGTGAATCAGACATAGAAAATAAGCTAACAAAATTTGAAACTATTCTTTATGTCTATAATCATAAAAGAAAACATAACACGACAGGCAGAACTCCTGCAGATATTTTTATTTTCGCTGGAACTCCAAAATATAATACACAGTCAAATAAAATCAATAAAATAGAAAAATTAAATGAATCACGAAATAAATTTGAATTTGATACTAGATATCGACAAGCTCCACTAGTAAAATCAAAAACCACTAATCCGTTTAAAAAGACAGGAAAAATCACAAAATTAGATGATAATCATTACGAAGAAGTTAACAGAGGAAGAAAAATAATACATTATAAGTCTAAATATAAGAAAACAAAGAAAATTAACGAAAATAAATACGATAATTCCAGATGCACGCCAAATGAAAACCAAACCTAACTTGTTGATCAACACTATCAACATCTTTATTTTAATACATTTTACAAAACTTACCAATGGCCAAAATTTGGAAATCAATCCCGTTCAAGCAAAAAACGGTTATTTAATATTCAAAACAGGAACCTTGGACTTACCAACTAATTACGAATATCATTGTTTAACCGTCAACTTAACCAAAACTGAACTAACGTATACTAATTTAATTAAACAATCAGAAGAATTTTCAGGCTTAAAACAAATTATATACTTAACAGAAAAATTAAACAGAGAAATGAATGGAATTAGAATTGCAAAACGTAGCAAAAGAGGTCTTATAAATTTTATAGGCACAACATACAAATATCTATTTGGAACATTAGATGAACAAGATAAAGAAGAATTAATAAATAAAATTGAAAATTTAGAACAAAACACAATTCAAGTTAATGACCTTAATAAAGTAATAGATGCGGTAAACAAAGGTATAGAAACAATAAATCATTTAAGCTTGGTCAATGATGTAGACGAAAGGCTAGCATTGCTTATTTTTAATCTACAAGAATTTACTGAATATATAGAGGACATAGAACTAGGAATGCAACTTACTAGACTAGGCATTTTTAACCCTAAATTACTTAAGCATGATACTTTAACACATGTTAATTCAGAAAAATTATTAATAATAAAAACCTCTACTTGGTTACAAACCAATACTAATCAAATATTGATAATTTCTCATATCCCAAAAGACATTATAAAAACTTCAATATTCAAAATGTTGCCTTACCCAAATGAATTTAATGACATATTAACAGAACCTTTAGAAGACAAATATTATTTTCAAAATAATCAAATATTTTCATTTAACACAAAAGAAAGAGTTACAAATAAATGCATTATAGGAATATTAAACCAAGCCAATGCCGAATGTAAATACACAAAAATGTATAAAAAATATGAAACATATTATATAGAGCCAAATTTTATAATTACTTGGAACTTACCGAAAACTATTTTAAACCAAACATGTATAAATCAAACAATAGTTGTCGAAGGAAATAAAATCGTAAAAGCATTTAATTGTTCTGTACAAATCGAAGAAATCTTAATAACAAATACTATAATGGATTACACACAAACTATTTATGTTAACAATAATGTAACAATGATAAAACCACTGTCAATAATTGAAGCAAAAGATATAATAAGAATACATACAAGCAAAAATAACACATTTCAAATTATAATACTTACTATTTTAATTGTAATAATTATAATTTTAATTTACTTCATCTATAAATTTAAGAGTATTCCGAGAAACATTGTAATTAAATATAAAAATCAAAACAAAAACAATACTAAGAACCCAGAATTAAACAATATTGCACCAAATGAAAATACCCCACAATTAAACGAAAATACTACACAAACTAATATACCCACTCACATATACCCTAATATATCCGCCTGAGGACAGGCTTTTTTCTAATGGATGGGGAAGTAATATACCCACACCCACATATCTACCACATAAAGTAACATACACACACCCACATACCTACCACATAAACATATTTACATTACGCATTTGTCACACCCAAAATCATCGGCTCCCAAGAGTCGCCAATTAATATAAACATCCTCTTGAGTTATAAACAAATGAAAGACCCCAAATTATCGGCTCTTACGACTGACCAATTTATGTAAACATCCTCTTGCATTATAAACAAATGTCCCCAAACTCCAAAAAGCTTTTATCCCCCAATACTGTAAAATTGCCGACGCAGCTCAAACCTAGATCGCTCTCTTGCTCAGTGCTCTCATTTTGGACACTCTCAATTTATCAATAAAGTTCTTTCTCCCAATCGAAGGTTTGATAAGCGCCAGCTTAGTTTTTAAGGTCGAGTTTTAAGTTGAATCTTGTAAGGAGCAGACCTATCTCTCCCAGTTCGCGTTTACACTATTTTGATAAATAAAAATTATATTTTTTTCAAAGTGTTAAATCCCGAATTTGTTATTATATATATATTTTTTTTAATTGTAATAGACTTGCACCATATTATTATTATTTTTTTGTTTATGTTTAATATTTCTGTGTATGGCCACACTAACACAAAGATGAACCGAGCCTAGAGAAAGATGAAGCGTTTGCTAACAACCTCGGGAGAAGTTTCAAGCCTTACAAATATTCGCCTGAAAGCATACGTCGACAAGTTGAAGAGTTTCTGGAATCTCGTAGGTAAACTTTCACCAAAGAAAACTCCCGGTGAGGACCTTCTGGACAACAGGACGATTCGACTTTTACCAGATCAAGCCCTGCAATTCCTGGTGTCATTATTCAACAGCTTACTAAGTTTAGAAAGTCTCGAAAGTTTGGAAATCGGCGAATATAATCATGATGCCAAAACCAGGAAAATCGACGACTGACGTGGACACATACAGCCCCATTAGTCTTCTACCACCCTGGGAAAAATCATGGAAAGGCTGATCCTGAGCAGGCCGGAATTTCAGTTCGGCTTTCGTTTTCAACATGGAACTCCTGAGCAATTGCACAGAGTTGTCAACTTTGCTTTAGAAGCCCCAGAGAAGAAGGAGTATGCAGTTCCTGCCTTCCTTGACATCCAGCAGGCAATTTGACAGTGT